GGCACCTAACGGGCATATGGGTCATAGGGAGTAGGAAAACCCAACCGCAGCGTCGCCGTGCATCTTTACAGCCTGTACTCGGTCCGAAAGCTCTGTTCCCTGGGTATAGCTGCTAGAGAATACCCCCTTGGTGTTCACATCCCGCCCCTATCAGTCGATTTCGAAAATTGCTCTGATGTTTTCGTGAATGTGTGTGTGTGTGGGGGGGGGGAGGGGGGAGTTAAAAACATTGCTGAGCGGACAAGCAGGCGCCAGGACGCCAAGCCGCGCGACGCCAGCGCCGCCAGCGATTCGACGACGCACCCGCGCCAGGTGTGCAGTACAGTACCGGCTGTAGGTGCCGCGGGCTGCCGGCCAGACCGGCATGCGCGGACCTTGTAAGTACGCGCGCCAAATGCAACAGTTTGGCTCTGCGCAAGCACAGTAACTGCAGCGCGGGTACATGTGAGTGAAACACGGCGGTTTTCTCTTGTTTCCCGTCCTATTATTAAAATGTGTGCGCACGGTGGGACGGGCAGAGCTGCCCGAGCCCGAAGGTACGACTAGAGTGGGTTAGCAATGGCTGGGGCATGGACCGCCTGGGATCCTAACTACCTACGTACTTATCTAAGCCTGGACGGCAAATGCAAGGACAGTGGCTTTTGACACATTGAATACCGCGTGTCACACCACCACAATGTGATAAAACCTCTACGTTAAAATTATATGGTATAACTCCGCATTACTTGCTTATTTCTATTTCAAAGGGGTGACTCTCTGCACGGGTGAGACATTTCCCAAGTGGTACATGGTTAGCTACAGATATCCAATCGTTTGCCACTTCTGTATGCAAACTTTTCGAAGTGTTCGCCCAGTCGCGAGGCACACCGTGAATGGCGGGTTTCCAGTGCGACCGCGACGCTTCCTTTGCCCCCCCCCCTTCTACAGCGAATCTATGGGGCTGGGGATCCGAAGGTAATGACGGTCATTTCGAGTCCGTGTTTGTTGTCTACGTTACGGGGCTGCCATGCCACGGGCAGCCACGGGCCCGGCCAGCCGGCCCCCGGAGCCCAGCGCCCCCGGGCGGGGGCCCCACAGACCCCACGGGCCCCACGGGCACCCTGGGCCTGGGCCCCGGACCTCATGGCAGAGCGGCGGCGCGAGGCTTTACCAATGGTACACTGTTGTAATCGGTTGCTTCGCAATACTGGGCCCGAACCCTGCTGCCTTGCTGCCCTAGAACAGTAGAACGTCCGACAGGTGACGATGGGAGGTGTGGTGCCTCGTGTGGTACTCACTCAGTCTGTGCTTGCTCTGAGCCTCCCGCATGCAGTCCCAGTGCAGAAGGTGGTACCATGAGACGGACTGGAGTTCTGAACGGCAAAACCCCAGGTGAAACTCGCCGCTAAAACAAAAACGGACAACAGAAACAGTCAGTTTTCCATCCACATCCATTGCATCGCTTTGGAAGGGGTCCCGTGGGAGGGGCACGTTTGCATATAATGTTGACCTTATTTACAGGGTGGACCACAGAAATGACCAAAGAGGTTTTACTATACCACCGGTGTGTGCAGTTTGTACACGAGCACGAGCTCGGGTCCATACATTATGGCGCTATGGTTACAGTGTTAATCTAATATTTCAACCAGGAGGGGTACTTAAGATCCGTCAATAATTTAGCCGACTTGCGACGCTCACTTCCATGTCACACCTCAGGATGACACACCAGCCATATCTAGCGAGAAAACATTGAGTGTGGCATGACCACTATGAGGCCACGCACGCACCCATGTAAACTGGGCTTAAACGAAATGTCACGCGCTCTATGTATTCAGCCGCCACTGGCCACTATTTACAGTGTACGCGACCAACGGCCACGCCAGGGCGCCTTACGAGGGCCGGGTAGGCAACCCTGCGGCGCACGCCTGTTTGACGGGGCGGCCAACCTCGCGGGCGCTGACCCCAGCCCTCTGCGGAGACTTCAACGCTAGTGGAAGGTTGTGTTGCCCTGTACCATATAATATAACACGAATACGACAGACAGGCGAGCCCGAGGGGGAAATCACTTGCGAAATAGTTCGTACACCTTCCCCCGAAATAGTCCGAAATACAGGCAAAGTGTCTCGGACACCAGACGAGCGGAGCACAAGCCGCAAACGTGCAAATCCGTATAGGAACGGACCTGACTCGCGCCGGCAAGGAGAGAGGCGACTGTGGAGGCGACATAAGCCTAGCGCTGCCAAGACACCATGAAGTAACAGCAAAAATTACAGTGCTGCCGTAGGTAAAGATAGGGAGATCGCTTACTAAGATGAGAAACTCATTCAACATTTTGCAGCAGATTAAAAGCAAAAACACCAAACTTATTCCAAATTACAGTAGAACAATTACTGTAGAGGCTGAGGGAATAGACAACTGAGGGAATAGACAACTAAGGGAATAGATGATACGGCCCCCTTCCATCCAATGTGGAGTGGTTTTGCCTCGTCATGTCAACGTCAACCAGGGTGTTGATGCCCCCCCCCCCCTTCCCCTCCAGGACACTGCACTTCCTACAATGAACGTTCACCAGTTAAGAAGGTAATTCATCTCATCTACCGTTCCTGCCAGATTTTTTTTTAAATCTTCCAAACAAGAACACAGTGAAATTCGATTAGTATGAATCGGAACGACAATGCGCCGGAGCGACAGAACCAGCAGAATAATAACGTGCCGAGAGAAAGAGGAAAAAAAAAACGAAGAAGATAAAAAGAAAAGTTAGAATTCATAAAGCGATTGGTGGAGCGCGCGGAAGGGATATTGTTTGTAACGGATGGACGCGGCAGCGCTGGTTAGCGGTCGAGTTTCAATCGTAGATTGCCTCACATTTGTCAATGTCCGGCTGCGGCGAAGGGAAATTAAACAAATAATGAGGCAAAGGGGAGCCGAAAAGAGGCCGCGGTGCCGTACCAATTGTCGACACCCCCCCCCCCCCTTTCCCCAATGGCGAGGCGTTTGTAAATGGGTGAAAATTGTCAGCAGCAAACCTTTAAGGCTGCTAAAGAAATAAGCCCCGAATAAAAACATAAACGAAAAAAACAACATAAAAGTAAATAATCGGATGTGTACGATTATCCAATTCAAGAGCGTGTCATAAAATAATTGCAGAAAATGGGAATTGGTAACACGCTTCTATTTTACTGCCACACTGTCACAGTGTTACAGTGTGACGCACCCCAGCTCATGGGACTCTTTTACTCACTTTTTGTCCACGTGCAGGAAGGTCATGTCCATGGCGTGGATGGTAGTGAAAACGTTTGTGGCGCCCTGCACCACACACTCGCGTGTCTCGGGCATGGCCACCGGAGTGCAGGTGGCCAGGAACACGGGCTCATTGCGAGCGCACAGCGGCACGAAGGACAGGTAGTGTCCCTGTACTAGGACCACCTGCAAGAGAGAGCACAGGTTCACACATAACATCCAGGGACTGTTGAGGGCGACGATAATACTACTCGTCCTTTGGATTAATCCAGCGAAAGGCATCTTGATTTTCCGCGGTTGTATACAAATTTCGAACAAAACAGGGACCAAGATTATGGGAACGACCCTGTACGGTTACATACAATGCACCCGAAGGACAGCCACTACATTTTTAGGGGATTCACATCCTGCCGTTTGACCTCACACTCATGCATACCCCTCCCCCGCCTCTGGACTCGCGATCGGCACTGACCACTCTCAATGAATTCATGCATAATGCATGGCTAAGGTAGAAGTCTTCTCTCCGGCAGCAAGCCCCCTCCCCTTTCCCTCCTCCCCCCTCTTCTCTCTCTCTCTCTCTCTCTCTCTCTCTCTCTCTCTCTCTCTCTCTCTCTCTCTCTGTCTCTCGGTGGCGTGGTCACTCACTCCTTTAACAACCCCGCCCGGCGACACTACGGGTGGCTGAAGCTCGCGCCTGCCTGCCATCAACGACCCCTGCTTCCGGGAATATGTCCCCCTTCCCCTTCTACGTCCCTATCTTCAGCTTCCCCTACATCCTTCTTAACTCGTTGAGGTCGTAATTAGGAAGTTGTCGAACACGGAATACGCATGCGACACAAATGCAATCATCTTACGGGAGCTAGAACGAAATTTCAATTTCGGGATAAACACCACTTTGATAAAATTTTGAAAGCTCTCATTAACTAACTTTCGGGCACTGGTCTAAATTCTAAAATAATAAGCGCAGGTTTTCTTTATAGTTTCTTATAAAAAGGGAGATAAACAACTGTACTGTACAGCATGTAAGTTTACCGCGATTCCAGGCAACATCCTTTTCATAACAAATTCACCGCTTGCGAAATGTTTGCGTTCGCAATGCACAATGGGCCCGTTTGATTTAGACCTCCGGCCGGACCGCAGCCGCGCGCCTGAGCGGTATCAGGCCCCCATATGGGCAGCAGCCACCTGTGATATTTCGTGACGGCCCCCCACAAATATATTATAACGCGTGTCGCGCGACAACTTTACGGCACGCGCTGCCGCGCCGCAAAGCATTATCTACAAGGCTGTGCGCTCCCGCGGCGCGAACCGCAAGGTGGAGGAAAAGGACCGAGCGGTGGGAAAAGCTCCCCCTCGAGCTCCCCAAAGAGATGGAAAGCAAGCATGAGTGCTGGGGAGCTCCTGGAAACATTTTTGACAGATTGATAATTTCTTCTGTTTCTTAGTGCAATATGAATGTTAAGACTACTAACGGCCAAAGGGGAACGCACAAAGTCGCCGCAGTTGCAAACGTCGCACTTCCGCTGTCTTACATCAATTGGGCATTCTAAAAGTAAGTGTGGGCACACACGGAGCATGGCATCCCAACTCCAATTTTCTACCAGAGAGTCGTCGAGTTTCGTCTCTGTGGCGGGTTTGCGGTCGGTGTTCCATATAGGGCCACACAATGGCTAACTCTGGGCGCCATCTCCCCGTTTGGTGTCGTGCAGAGCGTCGTCCCCGTCCGTTCGCGACATAAACAAACTGATTGCGGAGTGAACACTGTCGGCTAGCCAAGCTAACAGCATCAGCTTTTGGACAATGCAATTTTTTTTCAAGGGAAACATTCGCAATGATCTTGTTGTGCACTTGTTGCATTTGGAACACAATATGGGTGGATTTTGTACTCTTCTGCCTTCTACAGAAATCATGACTTGTATTACCGTACCTTCTGGTCACCAAAGCGCATCTGCCTTCTTGCGTTCCTGGACACGTTCATCCTGCAGAGGAATAGTCGTTCGTCGTCCCCGGACCTCAACAATTCCGTCTGCACCCCAGCATGATCTTGCCGGTCGAGGAGATCATACGCCGAGTCCCCATGGATCAGTAGGTCCTCCTGCAACACGAATTTCTCTGTCAAGGTGGAGATCAAACAGATAAGAGGTGAAACGAACACCCTAGAGTATGATTAAAAAATTAATAAACCAACAGTACGATTTTCATTTTACCATAGACGTTCAAGGTAATAAGGATGTGCCTGTGAGCAACTGGTGGACTTTTTGTAACGATTACAGTAAACAAATAAGGGAGGCATAAAACACAAAATTAATTTTGTGCTAAGTAATAAATTCGTTATTTCATTCAAATTACCACCCTTATTGCGATAGGCTCATCCAAAGAGTACGTCCGTCATTTGCCGAGACAAAAGTACCTAGTTCAGTTCATGGAAGCTCCCATAGCGCCTACGGGGTAGGCAACATATTGCCTGCAATGCACGCGTGTACAGCGGGGTAGCCTACCCGGCATCTCGCAGGCGCTGAGCTCTCATAATGTACCTAACGAATCTGAGAAGCAACTAATGGAATGCACATGTTGGTAATCCACTCCTTGGTACACGCTTAAAAGTATTCAACAGTAAATTTAAACATCATAGAGTGTCTAAAGCGCACACTTGTTTATGAACTCTGCAATGCCCAGCTTATCAAAAATCCTGCACTTGCTGCTTTTGCGTATTTTGTAATAGAAAATTATGGACACTATCTTACGCAAATATCAACAATTTGTTCATAATTTCACATTAAAAAAGTTTACAACCAATTGGTTTGCAGCATAGCCAACCTTCAAGTTCAACACTTGAGTGTTCAAATTTATTGTTCTTTCAACCATTTTCAGTCAACCACTTAAAGTGTGCAACGTATTGTTGAGCACTTGCATGTTGTGTACGCCAGTTGAACACTTTATATATCAGTGTTTAGCTGGCTACTGCTTACTGGTTAGGCGGAAGAGCGGTCATGCGTGTTCTTTGTTGCACTCATAAAACTGATTGGAATCGTCGCTACAGCTAATGCATTCTTCACTCTAGCACTGTGTATACAGACATGTCAAATAATCACTTAATCAGAGACGGTGCTAATGAAATTTGTTGTCGGGCAGCTCAGTGCCGGTAACATGAAACAGGCCGTTAATATCATTCTGCGTGACACGCGGCTACCGAAGAGGCAGGGGGGGCTGCTACTGCTGCAGCTAAAGCCCAGACAAATGGACATCAAGTTACCAACCACGTGTAATAGCAGCCAATTGGACACCAATCGCCTCCATTAAGTAATCGATACCCCCTTCCCCCATTTCTACCCCTCTCTCCAGTCTCTCTCTCTCTCTCTCTCTCTCTCTCTCTCTCTCTCTCTCTCTCTCTCTCTCTATGAGAGAGTGCTCTTCGCTCTTGCCTAAGGCACGGCGGTGCGTATCACATTACCACTGCATGCTGCAGGAAGGCTGGGTGCACCACTGCACCACTCTACGAACGTCGTGGACAGCGCAGACGAAATATATTAAGTGAAATTTCTCCCGTTGTTTCCTACAACTCGTTATACAAATACGATTAAAATTTTAAACAGGAAAGCGCTTTTGAAGTGACGCAGCAGTCAGCACAACATAAATCCGCACACTTAGTCAAAACTTTTCAATAAGGATTAGAAGGTGTTTGGCTGAGCGAGCGAGGCCAGCGGCCGTGTGTGCGACGCTTGAAGAGTTCGATGCAATTTAATCGCACTGGCCTTTGCGCGGGTCCCGCAACCCCTTCTCTCCCGCTCTCTTGGAGAGGTCCTGTTGGACCGCCCACCCCTCATTACAAAAGGTCGCGGAGGGGCGGGTGGGGCCGAGGAGGGGCCGAGGAGGGG